CAACGTACGCGTGTGCGAAGATTAACTTTGTTTAGTCAGAAGCGAATGACACCATCTGTTTGTTTCTTTTCTTTTCATCCTTTTTTAAACTAGAGAGGAAATAAGTGTTGACAAAGATGAAAGTGCCTATCGCATTGATTCGTCTTAGTTTCTTTTAAGAGATATCACCCTTTTTTATTCAAGTTATTTATTGCCAAATGCTGTCGGTTAGATAAATAAAAAATAGGAAGGCAGAGACATTGATGTTTCATTCTTCCTTTGCCAGGATTATAACTGATAATGTTGGATTTACTTGAAGATAATAGAAAGAAAAAAAACATTTGTAAAAGTTGTTACTTGGATAGGTTTAAGCTGGAATAAAGTAGCGAGTAGCCAAATATTTACAGTGGATTGATCCGTTTTTACGGCTTATCAACCCTTTGCAGGTTATTTAAAGCCAAAAAATATTTTTTTAGATAGAAAGATTTTTTTAAGATAATAATGGTTTAGTGATAAAAATATTATTAATTAACCGATCGGTATGGGGGGTGGAAGAGGTGGTTTCATAATTCTGATCCATTATACATTACACCACCTGCATATGAAAGTTTATAGCACCTGATATTTCTAAGAGGTTACCTATTTTAGTAGTGACCAGCCTTGATCTCCTCCCAGTATTTGGGTAAGTAAAAACTACGGTGACTTCCTTAATGAATTTCATGTTAACATCAAGAAACTGGTTAGAGAACTAGAAAAGCTTATTATAAAAATAAACAGATGTAATAGCTCTATTATTCAATGAAACATGTTTGAATGAAGATATGCTGTGTATATATAATTCCAATTCATATACATATATAGATGTATGAATTGAAATCAGATACGGATTAAAATCCGACAGAATGATAAAAGGAAGAAATAGGAAACGTTTATAAATTCAACATCTTTCGTCTTTATTTGAGCTGCATAAGACATTTTTGTAGAATTTTCTTTTTCAGTAGATTTCTAATGAAGCTTAAATAAAAGCGAAACATATTAATTTATGAATGTTTCCTATTTTTCCTTATGTATGGTGGACTCTCCCGAGTGAACCAACAGCCAAACACCAGCACATCTGAGTTGATTAGTGAGTTGATTAGTGGTGAAGGTTTTTGCGTAGACAACTTTAAGGTTCCATGGAACCTTAAAGTGGTCTGTTTTTATTTAAATTGTTTGCTCTGGAGTTACATTGAGCTCTCTGGATTTTATCCTCCTTAGGTTTACCCATACGGATTACCTAGTTTTTCATAAACTAACTAACTATATATATATATATATATATATATATATATATATATATACACCTATTCGGAAATTTATATTTTATTAAAACTAAATGTCACAAAAATTACTTTTAAAAGATTGCATCTGCAGTGCACGAAGTTCTGGCTTACTCAAAGCTTCCCCACTCATCGGGCATTGATATTTTCCGATCAAAATTCAATTAAAACTTACGTGTCACTTTAGACATATTGATTTATGTACGTGTAAACCTCTCTTCGATCCCGAAATGGCACAACGGACACGACATCCCCGAACAGGGACGCCCCCGCTGAAGTAAGTTTGAGACGTTCGAAAAACAAATAACACGATTTCAACAGAGGCTATATCAATAAATATCCCTGCTTGAATAATATCAGCAACCACACTGCGGGCGTACGTGGTTGCAAGACAATCGTGAACCGTTGACAATCAATCAGCTTCAGAGGCGTGTCGGGGAAGGCCCAGGGGCGTTTCGATCTGTAAAACATTAGAAAGGTATTCAGTGGTAGTCTCACTCCACACAGATATCTAAGAAGTGAGTATAGATTCTATGTAGTTTTGACTGGAAACAGAAGGTTAAGGACTCGGGGTCGGAGGTGATGTAGAGAGACTTCGTTATGATAGATTACGCCTTCAATCAAGATGAACATTAACTGTGATGAAGGAAGTGAGCAAACATAATGCAACTGCTGAATGTAACCTATAACTGTTGCTCTGAGAAGAAGAAACGAAGTCATTTATTTCCCAAAAGCATTGGTGCAAAAGTGGAAGCAGCTGACAGGGCTGGAATTTGAACTCGAGTCGCTGGTTACATATTCTGTGTCGATAAGTGTTACACCACCCTCACGGATTAATATTCCCCCATTTTATTTAAATCAGAAGTTGGGTACCTCGGCATGGTGTAACGGTTAGCAAGATTGTCTCACTAAAATAATTACGAGTGAATAGTGAGTTCGATCCTCACTGGGTGCTCAACATTCTCGCCCGTGTGCCACATCTACCCTTAGAAAATCATTTCTGTGGACACCTCGGGATGGTGTAATGGCTAGCAAACTTGTCTCGCTAGAACAATTACGACTGTGGAGTGAGTTTGATCCTCACTGGGCGCCCAATTTTCAGCCTTGAGCCACATCTAAGCTACGCTTGGAAGATCCCTATTTAAATCAAAGGTTCACGCTTGTCTTAACAACTGCTCGTTTGAACTGATGCTTTTCTTTTCCCTGCGTAAATTATTCGTGCGATTTGGAGTTGTAACAAATTGGTCACTAATCGCTAACTCAACTTGATAGCGGAACATTGTTTATTTTATTAACCTTTGGCGTTGGTGTTTCTCAGTGAAAGCAAAATATTGTAATAGGTTCTGTCTGTTTAGCATATAGCCTCATATGGTGAACATCTAAATGCAGTTAAAAGTGTTATTCTTATCGATGGGGTCTGCACTATTACGCTGAACTAAATAGACGAGTTTCTGATTGAACATTAGAATATAATTTTCATTTCTCGATTAAATTATTTTCTGTAAGTTCGAATAATATCTTGCCTGTGCCCTGTCCACTCAGGACGTTGGAGATCACGGCTCTCCACATCTTTCTATCATTTCCAGCTCTGAGCAGTGTTTATCTTTTTACTACACCTAGGACAGAATAATGCTATAAAACCTAATTTTTCTGAAGTGAGAGGTTTTCATTATTTCCACTATTTACATGCACACGATTATCCTAATCATTGCTGTTATAACAACGTTTTTGCCGTTGTGTCCTCCGGTCATTTTCTTTTAACCTACAGAGAATTCCGAACTGAACCCTTTATTCAATCTATGGGGGTAGATTATTCTTATTCCGCTGGCCATGTCTAGGAATATCTCGTTTTGTCCTTATTTTTAGTATTGCTCAGTTGTTGCTCGCCCTGTTTTCAATGAGTTCAACTCCACCCTTGGGCAAATTAATTGAAACAAAACGAATAATACCGTTATTATTTACTCTTTTTCATATTTTTCCAATGAAACATGACCCAGTTCACATGTTAGTACTACGTATGACCATTTCAAAAAGTTTTTCCTTGCAGGTTGACCATAGATTCCTGTCCTCTCTATATTATTTTGATTTGCTCACTGGTAAGGCTTGCCAGTGTGTTCGTGCAGCGTTACAAATTCGTACGCTTCCTTGGTGTAACGTCCATCGTAGACAATGGCCGTAGGACAACTAATCGATAGTCGAGACAATAGTGTCTGAATGTGATAAAGCAATATTTTTCGAGGTGACAAACAAATTCCATCGCACACCCCCGAAAATGTATTCATATTTCTGCACACCACTGCAAATGACTATAAAATAAAAATCGATTACACCCTGTTACTCCAGGTCAAAGGTTTTTTTTGACTCTCGTGCTAAAACCAAACCTACGTCAACCGTGTGTGATTCTCGTATAAACTAAAACTACATCTATATTTTTAACTCTCATGAAAACCACATCTTTGTCTACCTATTTATTGTCCGTCAGTATTTGGCATTAAATAACCCGGAAAATGGCGAGGTACCGCAAAGCAAACCAAAGTCCATAACTTCTGACTAAGAAAATATAACATACAAATAATGATAAACTTGAAAATATACAAAAGTCCCTAATAAAACCAGCGTTACAATATACAACGTTTATAGGTGGGGGGACCAAAGCCGAAGAGAAAATTGACGTACTCCATATAAAAAAAAACAAAAAAAAACGCACGGTGCATCCTTGGCACTTAATGCCCAAAGATTATATGGGAGAAGTCAATATACAAGATAAACGATAAATTGATATCTGATACGAAGAAAAAAAACAAGATGGCGGCATTTTGCTTTCATACGAAAAAGAAACCCAAATATGCCAGCAAATGTAGCAATGGGGTTTTGATGAAAAATATATGTGGTTCAAAGGAGGAATCCTAGAATAACATTACCAGCGATACTCAATAGGGTCTAGACATGTACTAGATTAACAGCCAGATTTGCCTTCAGGAGTGCAGCTCCTTTAAATGCAGTTGATCTGAGAATATTTTCAGTTTAAGCATGGACCGACGAAATTCGAAGAGAGTGGCGAACGGCATCATGAAAATTGCAGGGACGTCACCTTTTGGTGGGGATGAAGACGAGCAGCAAAAACCAATTAAATCGATATCTAAATTACCTGAAGATAAAATAATAGATTTAAATAAATAAAACAAATGCGTTGCGCTCTGAGATAGTCTCACCTCCTTGATAGAATCAACCATCCCAAGATTCGAACCCGGGTCGGAACACTGACTCTGTAACCACCCAGCCACACACCCATCCATACAGATAATTAAAACGATTTTTTTCTTAAATTGGTAAATTCAATGACATAGTCAAACTTTCCCGGGGTACGATGGAGTCACCATCTCTTCTTATTCTCTTTCTCCCTTCTGGTGGCGGAGGTGGAGGTGGTGGAGGTGGAGGTGGCTCTGAAGGTCCGGCCTACTCCTGAAGAGTTGTAAACAGGAATCACAGAGGAGTGTGTGTGTGGTTGACGTGACTTGAGCCCGAGTTGGGTCTTCTTGATAGAATATTGCAGATCCTCTTCATGTTGACAGTTGGATTCGAAAGTCTCTCACCCCCGCCCCGATGGTCCTACACCAGGGAGGCCGATTTGTAGCAAAAAATGTCAGTATTATATATAACAAGAAATCTAAGAGATTTCTGTTTTCATCTTTGCTAATAGGGTTACGGCTATATCACGTTGAAACAACGGTTCCTGTACGATCACCGAAGTTAAGCAACGTCGACCCTAGTCAGTAACTAGATGGGTGACAGCTTGGGAATATCAGGTGCTGTAAGTTTGGATGTGCGGGTGGTGTAATTGATAACGGCTCGGAATTTTCATCGGAGAGTCGAGTTCCATTTCTAGTCGGTTTTGTTATATTCACTTGCGTACAAATACTATTGGGAATACCCATTCTATCCCCATCTATGGGTTAATTAGCAGAACTTGTATCAGTAAAACATTATTATCTACAAAATATTCATATAGTCTAAGCATATTTTCTGGTTTTAAATAATCTACAAAAGGTTGATAAACCGAAAAAAACTAAAACAAATCAATCAATTCTTATTATTGCTAATAAAAAATGGTCCAGTGGATAAAAGCTTTGGTTGAAATAATCCAAAGAGTTCTGAGTTCAATACCTAGCCACAGAAGAAATGAACAAAAAAAAAAAACGTGGAGAGATGAGTTACTAAAGGGAAATACTGAAATTGAGACATCCAGAAAAGGCATGGCACGCGGAACTAGAACAGTCTACTGCTGTGGACGAAATAAAGGTTTCAGTTCGAAATCCCAACGTATATCACTCGAAGAAGGTCGGAGCATACAATGGCTGAAACGTCGTGAATATGACAATAAAGAAGAGGGCACAGTGCGAACAATGTAAATAGTGTAAAAAAAAAAATAAATTTTTGAATTCTTTCCGGTTAGAAAGCTTTGAGATGAATACTTCATTTTTCCAAGAGTGTGAAAAAAAAGGCAACTTGGAACAAGAAATAAGCAATTAATCATGGAACCGATGCACAGTTGATGGAGCAGCTGTCTAATTGAAAGCAGGCGAGTCTAAGGTAGCCATTATACAAAATGTAGATATATTTAAAGGTCTTGTGTCGAATATTGCAAACAGTAAGTAACATAACTCCACATCGTGCAAAAGTAAGTTAATTAATATAATCCAAATAAAATTATATTCGTTTCCTAATTAAAATGTAGTCATCTCAAATGTCAGCTTTTTACACGTGATTCTTAGCTTTAATGAACTGACAAAATTTGTCTGTATTGTTAGTGCGTAATAACTTTTCTTTTGCAAGCACGAAACTCTAAATAAGATATCACATTCGTACGGTAACATTCTGTATTAGTCACAGCCAAGGTTTAAGTGGTTCGAACATGGTTCTTATTTCATAATCTGATCACGACTGATAAGATGTTGATTGGTTGGTTTTAGATGTCAACACTTGCTGGGCTATTTATGTCGATTTTTTTATGGGCACCCAATGAGGAGCCAACTCACTAATCAGTAGTAACGATTGGTTGGTTGGTTTGTTGATTTTACGATTGCCAATCCTTGTTGGGTTATTTAATGTCGAATTTTGTGTGGGCCACTCAGTGAGGATCGAACTCGATAATTAATAGTAATGGCTGTCCAGGCTAGTCTCACTAACCTCTAACCCATGCCGAGTCGGGTTGGTTGTTTTTTTTACATGTCATCACTTACTGGTTTATTTGAGGTTGATTAACCGTAAAAAAACAAATTGTTCATTCAATTAATATTCGCTTATTTAATGTCGAATTCTGCGTGGGGCACTCAGTGAGAATCGAATTCAGTATTCAGTAGTTATTTGATATTTTTCTCACGAGAAATGTCTTAGGTATTATCACACTATCAACAAATCGGATAGTGATTAAAAGCAATTTTTAGATGGTAACAAACATAGCGAAAATTCTGATTGTCCAAGAGCTATATGAGTCTAAAAATTATATTAATTTTAATCATTTTACCCCAGATAAGGTAAGAAACCTCTAAGACGCAAGGGGTTAGTGAGTGTGAAAGAATAAGAGCAAAAGAACAATATTATTAAGGAGAAAGAACAATAAAAGAACAGGAATTAAGAAGACAGAAGATAAAGATAGTTGAGTTTAAAATTTTGAGGATCAAAGTTGATTGGAAAGCAAGAAACCAGGAGAGAGTTTCACGAGAAGTGCGAGAGAAGAAACTGTTAGAATAGAACTTACGGTTACATCTAGCCAATTCGATTGTAAATTGAGATGTAGTTTCAAAACTCATACTGTGCATAAATTCTTAAGGCCTATGTAATTAAGAAGAAAGCTCATCAGAACGCATACTATGAAAATATTTATAGAAATGGCACAAGAAAGCTGTTATGGCGACTGGAAAGTGACTGAAGCCGTGATGTCAAGTCAGAACCAATAACATTGCAAATTCTTCTTTAGATTTTATCAAGAATCTCTAAATTCATGGAAGAAGTATCTGACCAAATGTGACAGCAATATTCAATGCATGGACAAATGGTAGACTTATGTACCTGTAATCTGGTAAGAAAAATTGTCTTACACGACACAGTGAACCAACTTTCCTATCATCAAACCTAGCAATTGATTCAATATAATCCTTCAATTTCACATCAGCGGTAAACGTTAGCTCTGGGAGGCGTAAGGAATCACTTTCTTCGAGGTTGGTATCATGCATGACGATGCAAGGCAAAAAAGTTCTCTCAGTGGTTTTTTCTTAAAAGAAAGGAGTTAAATTTAACAATTTTTTGTCCCAGTTAACAATAGATTGTAGGCCATTTATGAGACTAGCTCTCAATTTGACCTTCCGTCAATTGTGTGCCATGCGGTATACACGCTTAGGTGATCTTTCGATACATGACTGACGAGGTAGATTTTTTCACGTAGTAGGTTGCCATATCTTTCTGCAGTAGACCAGTTGCCATTCAAGTCTATAGAACATAGTCTGTCCTGCTATTTATCCATAGCTTGGTGGGGGGAGAAGAAGAGGATTCATACCTTTCCAAAAGGTATTAACACGTAAGTGAATGTAATGGATTCGACTAAAATTCGAACTCGGCTCTCCGATTCTTCAATCCGAACCGCTATCCATTACTCCGCTAGACCTTATCGAACATTATGCTAGCAATAAATAGTTACTTCATCAGAATAGCTACCCAGTTGAGAACTGCTGACACTGGGAAGGAGAATTACAAACAACGCATATCCAAAGAAACCTGGGAGACACTTGCATTAATGCAAAAACATCTAGAAGAGTAGCCGTTCAAGACAACTTTCATTTCGCCATTTGATAAGGGACATTGAATCGGACAAAAATTTCGCCTAAAAATACCATAACCTTTCAATCAGTAAGGAAGACCAGCATGCCAAACACAGTAAAATGTCTTTGAGATATCCAAAGCAACAGCTTGGGATTCATTATTCTTGTCTAAAACTTCTTAGACTCTTTTAGCAATAACGGTTAATACACCAGCAGTTGGCTTAGAGGAGCGAAAGCCATATTGTTTATCTAAAACCGTGCGAGGTGAAATGCTTAACCAATATAGAGTTGATTAGAGTCTCTACTACTCTAGTATAGTCGGCATTTTTTTTTACTTCAAATCTTATTTTAGTGGATACATCATGTTTGAAATAGACGCCCCATTTTTATTTAATAAACTGTGTGCATTACGTCTATATAAAAAGAAAGTGTTATTAAGAAGCAGATTCCTTTCACTCAGATTATTTTCTCGAAAACTTCATATCTGCCCAGTTTCGAATCCAAAACGTAAAGAAAGCTTTTTTCTAAAGAATTAATGGATTTACTTTTAATGCGACATGTTTATTATTTCAAGCACTATTATAGTGGATTCTCTGTATTTGAAAGCACTATTTGTATTTATTAAACAGTACGTGTTACGACAATCGGATTGAGCGTTCGTGAAATCTTGGGCAAGAAAAATGGATTCCCCGGCAGCGATTGAAACTTCGCCTTTATGTGTTTGAACGCTAAAGCACACTGGATCAAATGGTGGCATTGCTTACAAAGGGTATATATATATATATATATATATATATATATATATATATATATATATATATAAACAGGGCGTCTATTCAAACATGAGCATCTAAAAATAACGTTTAGAGTAGTGGGAAGTAGTCAGATGACATTTCTTAGTAGATTCACCTGTTTGAATAGAATGCCTAGTAGTAATATATATATATATTTATTTATTTATTTCAAACAGGTTTAGTTATATAATTTAGAGATATCATGTCGATTAGTTTTCGTTGTGATCCTTTCAAGTTCGCGGATTATTTTGGGGGAGTAGATTTAGAAAACTGGGATGAGAAAAATATCAAAATTTTCTTTCGAATATTTACTCAAGTACTTTCAATCTCATCTGAGTCCATCTTCATTCTTCTAAATTATTTACCTATCTGTTTGAATGGAAATAGGCTGCCTAAATACACACACACACACACACACACACACACACACACAGATATATATATATATATATATATATATATATATATATATATATGTGTGTGAATACTACAGGATCCTATTCAAATTGGTGCATCTACTAAAATAACATTTAGAATAGTGGGAAACAGTCACATATATAGATTAAATATTTTTAGTGGATGCACATGTTTGAATAGACGCCCTATTTTTTTTAACAATGTTATTCGTGGGACTTAATAAAGAAGGTGTAGATCAGACGGTTACTTCCCCTATATTCCCGGAGACCACATCTTTATTAAAACTCAAAAATTCGTAATTCATAATGTAAAAAAAAAAACAAAAACTGGGTGCCTACTCAAACATATGTATTTACTATAAATAACGTTTAGAATAGTGGTAAGTAGCGTTGGTGAAAAAAATGCGTTAATTCCTTCATGATTAATTAGTTTTCCAGATTGTTTGCGGGCACACATACATACAAACAGAGAGCTTTACATATTAGATGCAGACTACAGCACTTGTTTACATTGGTATGTTGTTTAAAAGTGAGAGAGAGAGAGAGGCACATAAACACCTAGCAAGTTTTCACTCAAGAATGTGAAGCCATTTGGAATTGCATTGAGATTAATTTAATTTTCACGTAATTCCTTCATATTCTTGTCGTGATCGAAATGTTCGATTCGTGGCTCATCCACACGTCGAAATTTCAAGATCGATTTCTTTAAGCTTTGTTCAGTCACCGGATTGATTTCTTTAGTTTCGATTTGAGTGAAAGATTCTGCTTTCCGATCGGATTTCTTCTGTCA